ATAAGGATATTCATGCAAGGGGTAACATTCATAGATTACAAAAGTCACAAAATGCCAGGATTTTAGGTTTCTTCCTTGTTTTGTATTTTACAAAGGAGCAATATGATCAACCCTGTTGGCTATCAAGCCATAGGGTTTGAAGTACCAGGGCTACAAGTAGTAAGGTGTACTTAAGTTCATTCAAAGATATGGTGCACAAAGCCATACCTATGAATCGCTGCTTTTTTAAAAACTAGATTATTCTTATCCCACCCACCCCAAAAGCTGGCTGGCTGGCTAGAGTGTTGTACCAAACACTTTTGACAAATCTTTAAAACCTTTTTCCTAATAAAGTTGAGGTTTTTAATAAAAACAAGTTTTGATGCTGGAAAAAAAAATCAAGATTAAATCACTACTATTTCATTAGTACAGAATAATGAGCAGAGCAAATCTATCTTGCAATCAAGATACGAACTGAAACATAAGGCCTTCATCCCCCTGCCCCAACAATGAGTGATTTTTTTCCCCTTTGTGTTGTGTCCTGTTAGTGCATCTCTCTATTTCCTTTAGATTTAATAGAAGGAATTTTCAAGAGTTCTGCAGGAGAGAGATTAAAATGAAATAAGGATTGAAGCCATGTATCTCTTGATGAAAGTTATATAGACATGCATTTCTAATAGGCAGTGAAGGAGACAGAATAATCTCATGAAATAAGGAATCCCTAGCCTCATTATCAGCATTATGGGAAAGGGTAAATGAAATAACATCATGCATGCTTTTTTGTATATTGCATAGGGACAGAATAATCTCATGAAATAAGGAATCTCTAGCTTCATTATCAGCATTTTGGGAAAGGGTAAATGAAATATCATGCATGCTTTTTTGTATATTGCATATTTAGATGCATTTCTGCCATTAAGGCAAAAATGCAGTTAATTGCTTTTCTTCTTTAATTTGTGCAGAACATCAACAAAAACATTTCAATGGAGGAAATATTTTGATACTAAATACCCCTTTGGGGTGCAGTAGATATCTGACTGGGAGAAACCCTGAATAGCTATTTTTAAAACAATATGTGAATAAGGAAATAGCTGTGCTTTTAATGTAGGACATCAGAGCCTGGAAGTTTGATATAAAGAATTCCTTTACATCAAAGGAAACAAAACTATTTAAAATGAAATAGCTGTACAGCAGTAACCAGATAACTGTAACCAACCCATAAAGGGACAATTTGTAACCTCATTGAAAATTTGTTATCAGGCCCTTAACTCTCCTCTGCCGTAGAATATTACCGAATAGTTAGCACAATGATGGCCCATGCCTGTTTTACATTGCAATCAATAGCAGGTACAAGCCAATTGTCACTCATAATAGTTAAGTAAATTTTGTTTGCAAAATGATACCTTGTCTCAGAACGCTTCTGACCTTAAAGGTTAGTTTTCTGGTGATCAATACAGGTGCCTTTTTGGTCATGAAATTACTTGGAGGGTGACATCCGGGACCTTCTGAGTCCCATTACTTACTTGTTAGTATTCAGACACTTTTTCCATTGTCTGGGTGTCGTCTTGAGTTTCCAACAATTATCCGTGCCACAGTAATCCCAATCCAGCCACTGATTTTAGGCATATGCCAAGGGTACTACATGTGCAGAACATCCAGCGATCCTCCTTCCATGCATGGAGTTTAGTGTTGGCTGGTACCCAGCTAAACCAAGCTCCCTGCACAGCTGTGTATGCTTCAGCACATTTCCCCACTGCCCTTCATAGTGTGGATGAAGATGCACATACCCATCTGTCTCTCAATATGAATGGGAATGTGTAACCCCATTTCTTTGCTTAACACACTTGACTATCTCTGGATCATGTCCATATTACTTTGTTATTCAAATTTTATTGAGAATTCTTCCTTAAACTGTGCAAAATAAAAGTCCAGCATGTATTACTGTGTGATTTATCTATAATTTCCAGTACTGGAAATAGTAAATTCAGAAGAATAATCCTCTACCTGCTGCAAATTACAATCTATGATTATTTTTAAAAGAAACTGACATTCTTGACACATTTCCTGGGAAGTAAGCCCCCCCAGAGCTCCACAGAACTTACCTCAAAGCGAGTGTGTATAAATCTGAAGCTTAAAAATGTGCATCGTTGGAATTATTTTCTATCAGAGAAATATTTTTATAGTTCCAGGAGATGTTCAGTAATAAGAGGAAGCAGACATAGAGCTTGTGCAACGATGCTCACATTTTCTTGTCTGCAATTATTGAGTTTATTTAATTTGCTTCACTTACAGCCCATCTTTCTCAGTGAGATTCAAGGCAGATTACAAAAAAAAAATCTTTTTAGCAAACATCTTACATCAGTCTAACAAGTCTAAGATGCATTCTGGCCTGCCTAGTAAAAATAAAGGGAATGATCCAGAAAAAAAGTTAAGCATTTTTAAGGCTCATTAGTTCAGTAGCCAAGATTTAAGCATGGACTTAACTCTCACTGCCTCTGAAATCAATGTGCATAACTTGGGCTGGATCATGCTAATTTTTTAAACCTTTCACAGGGGTTCATTTCAGTGTCTGCCAACATTATGCTGAGAAGTTATCTCCATTCCTGGATACAATTCTTGTGAATTTAATCAGTTTTAATCCTTAGCAGCCTAGCAAGAACCATAAATTCAACCAGACACACCTGCTTAATAGCAAATTTTAAAACAGAAGGGGCCTCCTCTAAAGTGGGAAGTGGCAACCCTGAAGGTTGCTAAAGTTTTTTAAAAGGACATTCCCTTGTTCAGTAAGAATATAAGCATAAGACACAGTGCTCAAATGTTAACTGTACCATCAGACAAGCAGCATGGAAATACATAAAAGAGTGCAAAGGGCTGTTAGGTATGTAACAGCAGTGTTATATGTGGTTTTGACTGTCACTCACAGGCTATTTAACATCAATGAATTCCCACTAATTAGTTTTTTATAGTGCCACTTAACTTGCTCTGAGGAGCAAAGAAGGTGGCTTTAAAGAGGCTTGATGTTTTCACCAGTTTGCCTCAGAATCTTTAATCTATTAAGAAGCTCAACTGCTCTATGAATTGCTGATTAGGATTATCCCATTTGTTTAGCACCTTGGTTACTGGTATTGTGTTAATTATTGTTTAGGCACAATGATTGGCCACCTAGATTTCCTTGGCTGATGTAGCGTTATCACTTCCCCCTCCCCTTTCCTTTCGGTAAATAACTGTATTGTTTTTCTTTCCCTCAAATTCAGACAAATTATCCCAGCTGCCGTTTTAGCCATTTCTTTCAGTACCGCTGCACACTTCAAACCATGTTACATTTTCATCCTTTGGATTGTATCGAGTGGAACAGCCAAAAAGTGACCTGGTTCTGCCCAAGTCATCCTTATTTACATATATTAAGGCCACCTCACTGAGAGCAAGAAGTCTTCTAAATTAGCTGTAATGGACAGCATTATACCCAGGAACACAGCAGAACACATACAGTTGTTACAATTCCAAACTTAATCAGCAATCTGACTTGCTGCCAGGTATTGTGCAAAATAAATGTAGTTATCCTTCATTTTGCTGTGTACCCAACCACTCTTCGACATAGCTGTTACTGGAGAGATTCTTACAGCAGGACTGCTGCGCAGCTTGGGAACAGAATCTCTGCACTGTGTCACCTGAGTATCTGTCATTTAACTGACAATGAGCTAGATCTCTATAGTTGTTGGGAATTTTTGGCAAGAAAAAAACGCAGTAGAGCAAACCCACCCACCCCCAACTATTATATTCAGTCTTAAAACATCCATCTTAGCTGTACAGTTAAAGTCACCACCAGATCCCAATGGAAATGTTGTAATTTATCACTCTTAGCTTTTTCCCTTTCTTTTTTGCCAAGGTAAGGCGTTAACCTGGTAACACTGAAGTTGGGAGCAGCAAGTGAAAACATTTCAGTTATAACAAAACACAGCATGTTTACATCAAGTAGGTTAGGTTTTTTTTGTCCCCATCCAAACAGAAAAAGAAGAGCACCAAGTCATCCGCTTGTTTGAAATGCAATAAAAATGAAAAAGCCCCCCCCAAAAAAATAACAAAAAATCCTATCCAAAATACCAAAACACAAAAAAGTCAACCAGAAGAAAACAATTATCAATGCATTGTTCAGTCAAACCCTTCTCAGGCTTAATCAGGTTCCAGTGAAGTCATAAAACAAAAGCAGCTAACATCATATTAGTTATAAAACAAGTATGTAACCAATACCAGTGCATCAGAAAAGTACAAGTTGGTGGGCACAATCCAGAGAAAGTTAGGCTTGCCTGAGTTCTACTGAAACCAATTAAATTTAAGTGTTTTATTGTATGCCTCAGTCCCACTTATTTCAATGGGACTCAGGCACATCAAACTTTCCCTATAAAACTCCCTAAATTAACATTCCAACTCAACTCACTTTTAAACATTTTTGTGCAATTAAAAAACAAAACAAATCAGGCCATATCCTTTGGCCAAGTGAACATTCCTCAATTACAAACAACAAAAAAACCTGGGGAAAAAATCATTCTCAACGTACCTTATTTCTGAATCACTTTTTAAAAAATAAAATTAATAGAATAAAATCTTTCACACAAAACAGACTGGACTTTTAATAAACATAAATTCATGGTGCAAATACTGTTTTTAAAAAAAAGGACATAACACCCTTTAACCACAGAAAAGAAAACTCAAGTTGGTTGTTGTGACTGAACTGTCAAAACAAGGTTTTGCAATATACTTCTTTTGTTTCAGGAGCAGTTTAAGTTCACAGCACGTTAGCCTTACAAGCCATTTGGCTGGAGGAATATGTTCAGACTTCCAAACTGTAATCATGATTGCAGTATCTGAACAGAACCAGAGGAACCTTAAAAGCTCTTCTTTAGCAGTTCGGTCTCTGTGCTTTTTGCTCTTCATTCAACACGCAGTCAGTTGCCATGACTGTAGATACGCATCCGGACTCATCAGTACACCAGCAACAAGGCAGTTAGTGCCCAGCAGTTCCTTTGGAGCAAACTGCACTTTTGCTGTGAGACCGCCACTCAGTTTGTGTTGGTTGGAGTTGCCCCCTGCCTCTTAGGTTGCATATGAAGATAAGGGTTAAGGAGGAGGTTTAGGTAGACAGCTGAGGGGCGCACACTGAGAGCTGGAATGTGGCTGTTCTTCTGGAAGAGCTACATCAGGACTGAAAATGAGAAAAAGCAGGAAATTTTTTTTTAAAATACACAGCCAAGTCCATAAACAAACTAATTTGCACAGAGAACGTTTATATTTTAAGGTGAAGTAGGCCTTCTCTTAGACTGCACTCTTGCTGTGTTGATTACGTACACATATGGGCAGTTCCTAAAAGAAGACATGTGGCCAGCATGGTTCGTAGGTTCACAGGCAGTGATGCATAGGTTCACAGCAGTTTTTTTTTTTTTTAAGCCACAGCACAGTACAATCGGGAATGTGAATAAGGTCAATCCCACGGGGCCAAAAAGCTATAATTCTACAACAAACTGATCTTGGAAATTTTCAAAGTTTCTAAAACTCAAATTGATTTAATAGAAATCTAGAGATCATTAAAGAAAAATTCAAAGGAATATGGTTGTATCAGTACTTAACAGCAAATTTATTTATTATATAACCATCCAAACGCCCATGTGGATATGGCAAAGATATAAAAGATACATTTGGAATTTGGAATTTTATGATTATTGTATTTTATCATATTTTAAACTGCTGTACACCACCTTGAGCCTGCCTGTGCGGGCAAGGCAGGATATAAATTGAAATTTAATGATGATGATGATGATGATGATGATGATGATGATGATGATGATGATGATGATGATGATGATAATAATAATAATAATAATAATAATAATAATAATAATAACAACAATAATAATAATAATAATAATAATAATAATAATAATAATAATAATAATAATAATCTGGTACTTACTACCTTCCCTGACCCAATACCAAACATACTCAAAATGACAGCATATAATACTGTATCCCATTTTTTGACTGTGTATACAAGACAATTGCAACTTGATGGCACTTATGTACTTATATATAAATTTGTCATATATTCAGCATGTGCACCTTTCCCCACAATCAAGGAGAATAGTGTATCTCATGCAGTTACACACAGGGCCGGCTCATCCACTAGGCGAACTAGGCATTCGCCTACAGCGCCGGGCCCTGGATGGAGCGCCAAGCTGTGCCTCCCCCCTCCTCCCCCCCTTTGGTGGCGTCAGGGGGGAGGAGGCGGTGGTGGCAGCAGCAAAAGGGTGGCTGGCTCCAGAGGTCTCCACGTTTCCAGGCCCCACCGGGAGGTTGGCATCTGCACCATAAGGCACCCTTGCCTAGGGCGCAGAAACACCTCGAGCCAGCCCTGGTTACACAGAGTCCTTTCTGAGAAAAAGGAGGCAACTGTGGATGGTAAGAATGCTTAAAACAGCAACCCTTGCAGGGATGTAGGGAGCGCACGTTTTGAGAACCAGGTGGCAACTTGATTCTCATAGGAAAGTCTGACCCCCTAGAAATATAAATCTTGACATCACCTCAACTGAAATGCCACACCAAGGATGCCAACGCTTATTAGACTCTTACACATGCATGCTTCATTTATTTATAATGCAGAACATTAAAACATTAAAATGTATCCAGGAGCTACAGAATTGGAAGGGCTTACTCATCTTCATATGGTTTATACTTGCACCTTCAGGTGGGTTCACTTGATGTTACTACTGATACTACTGGTGTATGTATTATGCATTCCTGGATGGGAGTTCCCTCTCTGAGATCCGGTTGCAAAACTTACTCGTTTTCTGAATCCAAATTTGAACATACAGCAATGCATGCCAGGGAGCATGTAATTTTTGAATGAGAATGTTTCTATAGTACATATTTCAGGCTCATCGGGAATTCCTCCTCCTCTAATGGCTTCAAGCACAGCAGTGTGGCACATGGTAAAACATAACTACTTCTTGACTTTCTTGGGAACCAGTCTACTCTATTCCCCAAGCCTCCCTTAAGAGAGCAGTCCTAAGCAGGTCTACTCAGCATCCTACTGTGCTCTACTCAATGGGGCTTACTCCCAGGAAAGCACTCTTACAGATTGCATGGCATGTGACATGTTCTCGCTCCTGGTGAGACTCTTCTTTTTTTGTCTGCATCTTACCTCTTTTAACTGAGAGTGAGGAAGCTGCAAATGTCTTTGACATTTCCATTACATATTGAAAAACCAATACTGTGGTGAGTTATAAGAAGAAGAGGAGATTGGATTTATACCCCGCCCTTCACTCAGAGTGGCTTACAAACTCCTTTCCCTTCCCCTCCCCACAACAGACACCCTGTGAGGTAGGTGGGGCTGAGAGAGCTCTTTCCAGAACTGTCCTTGAGAGAATAGCTCTGACAGAACTATGGCTTGGCCAAAGTCATCCAGCAGCTGCATGTGAAGTGGGGAATCAAACCCGGTTTCCCCAGATTAGAGTCCATGCACTTAACCACTACACCAAACTAGGGTGGTATGCTGGTTTGAATACCTCTTTGGAAGAAAATGCAGTCAATAAATGTTTGAAATAAATAATAAGAAACTATCTCCTGGGAACCTAATGAGAAGTGGCATTTGCCTAGAAGAAGCAAAGGAAATTATGATCCACCCAAATCTGCAGGTGTATTGTCCTCATGGAACATCTATCTGTTTCTGATTCCCTTGCAGTCTCCCTCTGGATCCTTCAGCTGCAGGCATTTAAAGAGTCTGTATAGTATATGTACCCATTACTGGTATGCCTTTCAGGAATGTAAGCAACAGTAGAAACAAGCATAAACTCGCTTTCTTGTGATAAATGCAAAGCGGGTCCTTCAGTCTCTGTTATGACAAAATATGTTAATTTGTTTTCTAGTTATATCCTGCACAGAGTTTCCATTTGCCAGGAAAGTATTTAAAAGAGACACAAAAAAATACACATTTTTGTTTATGCATAAATATGAGACTTCAGGAATGTTCCCTCAAATATCTTCATTTTGCAATTCAGTTTACAATCACTGTGCCTAAATGTCTTGAATTCAGGCTCTTACCGAACCTTGGAAATACCAGTCTTTTTTTACCATTGACAAAGTAGATTTCAAGACAGGATTGATGCTATTGAACTTGATGCCGAAATAATATGCAAACTGTGAAGTAGCAATTAGGGTGAGCCATGGGATATGCAAGGAGCATATGAGGTAAGACCTAGCATCAGGGGGAAAGGACCACAACTGAATGACACAATTCATGCTTTGTACACAAATGGTCCTGGGTTCAATTCCTGGGGTCTATCTGGAGCAACCACTGATATGAAAGACCCGTTGAAGGAAGGCTTCAAACTTTGTTCAGTGGAATGTTAGGGTAGGGGTAGGATCCACCCCCAGTCCCTTCAACCAAGTGGTGGGGCGGGGGGGGGGGAGATACATCTTGATGTAAATTCAGTCAGTGGAGGCTATAGATATAGATGTTATTACATTCATTTGCAGTACCACTGATACTGTTATTCCTCCTAGGTAAGTCATTGTATAGAAACTTGTTTTATTGAAGGAGGAAGTACATATGAACACACAAAGCTGCTTATACTGAATCAGACCATCAGCCTGTCAAGGTCAGTATTGTCCGCTCAGACTGGCAGCAGCTCCCCAAGTTCTCAGGCAGAGGACTGCCACATCACCTCCGACCTGATGCTTTCAACTGGAGATGCCAGGGACTGAACCGTGGACCTTCCGCACATTAAGCAGATGCTCTACCATTGAGCCATGGCCCTCCCCCCAAACGTGAACAAAGAAATATGGGACTCAAGAGAAGGAAAGATGCAGCCTGAGTACGTGTAGATACAAGCAAACGACTACTAAGAGAAATGGTTGAAACTGTTTTTCTTTGTATCTTAACTGTCAGCTGAGCTCTGAGCAGGAGCAGGAGACAGAGGGGTGAGTGGTTTTTTATTTGCTTTCAGCGGAGAGGATCCAGCTGAGGATTTTGGTGGGAGAACTGGTCTGGGAGTGTGTGGAAGCGCTTGGAGTTTTTGCAGATTCCTGGCTGCTTGAGAGAGGAAAGGGCATTGTTTGACTGTGATTGACTGCAATTGAGAGGAAAAGGAAGGGGCATTGTTTTGCATGTGATTGAGTGCCTGGGTGCATTTGAATAGCTGCTGCCAGCACTCTGCTGGGGGAGGCCTCTATTTAAGGAAACACCTGGCCAGAGGCAGAGGAGACCCAGCTGAGCTCTGAGCAGGAACAGGAGCAGGAGACAGAAGGGTGAGTGGTTTTTTATTTGCTTTCAGCGGAGAGGATCCAGCTGAGGATTTTGGTGGGAGAACTGGTCTGGGAGTGTGTGGAAGCGCTTGGAGTTTTTGCAGATTCCTGGCTGCTTGAGAGAGGAAAGGGCATTGTTTCCCTTCACTACCCAAAGGTGTCTCAGAGCGACTTACAAACTCCTTTCCCTTCCCCTCCCACAACAGACACCCTGTGAGGTGGGTGGGGCTGAGAGAACTCTGACACAAACTGCTCTTTTTCAAGGACAGCTCTGACAGAGCTTGTGACTGACCCAAGGTCACATCAGCAGGTGCGAGTGGAGGAGTGGGGAATCAAACCCGGTTCTCCCAGATTAGAGTCCGCACACTTAACCACTACACCAAACTGGCTCTTAAATAAAACACCTTGGAAAACTGGCTCTTAAATAAAACACCTTGGAAAACAAAACTGCTTCTAGTACAAACACTGGCTTGTTCATTCCTAGGGTTATCCCTGCTCTTGTGGCATAAAAGAAGCCCCTTCCGACCCAGCACAGACATGCTTTTCTTGTACAAGCCGCAACAGTGATAAAGGGTGCTCACTCAGGTTATGATCGTTTCAGAGGGTGGCTGTGTTGGTCTGCAGTAGAACAGCTAGATTCAAGTCCAGGAGCACCTTAAAGACCCGCAAGATTCCAGGGGTCCGAGCTTTCGAGACTCAAAACTTCCTTCAACAGATATGAGTCAGAGTGGTCATTCTGACTCATATCTGGCCATGGAAGCTTTTGACTCTCAACAGTATATACCCCAAAAATCTTGCTCATCTGCTGGTTATGATGTAGCTTCATCTACTTGCAATTTCTTGCTTTCGAACTGCTAGGTTGGCAGGAGCTGGAACTAGAGACGGGAGCTCACTCCGTCTTGCGGCACCCAGGTCTTGAACTGCTGAACTACTGACCTTCCACAGCCTGCAGTTCAGCGTCTTAACCACTTGAGCTAGTCATTGTCTAACCTATCTTACAGAGTTGTTGTGATAATAAAATGGACAAGGAGAGTGGGGAGGGGCCGTGGCTTAGTGCCAGAGCGTCTGCCTGGCATCCAGAAAGTTCCTGGTTCAGTCCTTGGCATCTCCAGTTAGCAGACTAAGGGAGCCGTAAACAACAAATGCCCACAGAGCCAAACATGTCCAACTGGCTATTGCATCCTGAGAACAAAACTACTGCCATGGGTATGTGCTCATCTGCTGGTTATGATGTAGCTTCTTTTTTCAGTTAATTCCGATTAATTACTACAGTCAGTGTGATACAGTGTTTAGACCAGAATGTAGAACTTGGAGCTGGGGCACCCCAGTTCAATTTCTCACCCTCCCATGAAGTTCACTCAATGATCTTGGGCTAGTCATTGTCTAACCTATCTTATAGAGTTGTTGTGATAATAAAATGGACAAGGAGAGTGGGGAGGGGCCGTGGTTTAGTGCCAGAGCGTCTGCCTGGCATCCAGAAAGTTCCTGGTTCAGTCCTTGGCATCTCCAGTTAAAAGGATCAGGCAGTAGGTGATGTTTGTGATCCTCTGCCTGCCTGAGACCCTGGAGAGCCGCTGCCAGTCTGAGTAGACAGTACTGATCTTGACAGACCAATGGCTGGATAAAGTACAAGGCAGCTTCATGCACTCATGCATGCTGCCCTGAGCTCCTTGGAGAAAAAGCAGGATAGGGCACAATAAAATAGGAGTGGTAAGATAAATTCATAGGTAGGTCAAGTGACTGGTTAAAATTGTTCTTTTTTTGTGGGTATTTGTGTGTGTGCGCGTGTGTATGTATGCGCTTGCATGCTAGTGAGGGTTGGATGTTTTCAGAGAGGTGGCCTGATAGCCTGCCACTGCATCCCGAGCCCTGGTATTCCTTGGAGGCCTCCCTTCCAATTAGTTACCGGGGTCGGCCCTGCTTAGTTTCCAAGATCTGACAAGATCAGGCTTGCTTGAGCTATCCAGGGGAGGGTGACTAGTTAAAATTGTTCTGTTTGGTTAACAAGATGCTCCAAACTATTCAGGCATTTTTTTTCAAGCCGTTAATTGTTTATAATGTAATTCCTTATGAATCCATATAGGTTATGTGTCTTTTTTGAAGGGAAAGCCTCTGCTGAAATGGTACACGGTGTGTCAAGGACTGGCAACTGCCTGGAGATGAAAAATGCTCTGTCCCTTTAACAGAGGCTTAATGTGATGCTATTTACAGGTAATGCTATTTACCTTCACGCCAGTAAAGCTTCTGCAGCCCATTCCTACACATTGAGCCTCTATTAAAGAGAAGAGGCATCCCCCCCCCCCAAGGCCTGTTGGTAACCCTAATTGTGACACATGCATACATCATCTAAAAACAACGGATGTTTTTACTTCCAAACTATTTTGCATGCAAATTTATGCAGATATAATCAATTAAAGCCTGTGAAATGTAATTAACTAAGGTTTCAATCCCTGGTTTCTAACCCATTGTGTTTGTGCAGAAGTACATCCCTTCCCTCGCATAACTCCCACTAACTTCATTTCTCAACTAACTGCAATCTGTGATTTTAGTTTCTTCTAGCTGAAGGCTGATCCTGCTGCTAAACCAATTTCGTTTTATTAGTAGACAGATGAGATGAAGTTACATTACTCTTGTACGCAGTATTCTGTCACTAAGACTTTATGTAGCACTCAGTGGAAAGAGGTCATCGGTGGTGGTGGTGGAAAGTGCCATCAGTCACAGCTGACTGATGGTGACCCTGTAGGGTTTTCAAGGCAAGAGAGTAACAGAAGTGGTTTGTGGCTGCTCGCCTCTGTGTAACAAACCTGGACTTCCTCAGTGGTCTCCCATCCAAATAATGTCCAGGGCTAATCCTGCTTCGCTTCCGAGATCTGATCAGATCAGGCTAGGCTGCGCCACCCAGGTCAGGGCAGGTAGTAAGTGCATTATCCTTGGCGATGAATCCCAATTCCATTCCCCCCCCCCAATCTTCTATTAATTGCTGCAATAGAAATCTAGATACCTTTCTTTTCTTTTCTTTCCTTTTCTTTTCAAATGGGACTTTTAGATGTAGTTGTCAATGGCTGCTTGAGAAATCACATTTTTAGATTTATAAAGTCGCATAAATATACCTGGATTTACTTACAGACATACAAGGTATCAGTGGCATATAAGAGATGGGAACTCGGATTTTTTTGCCACCCATTCATGTTCTGCCTTAGGAAAACTGCACTCACTACCATAGCCATACCATATCCACCGTTCGTATCCATACCATATATAATGCAGACACATGGTGTCTGCAAGTCCATTGCTATGCAATTTTAATGACTACAGCAATATCTGCATCATACACAGTTCCCTCTAAGCTGTGCTAGGAGGTGCTGGAGCACCATATTTCAGAGGCCAGCTCAGAGGATTTCCGCTTCAGCTCACAACCAACCTTTCGTAGGAAACAATGGAGGATGGGGGCACCTCCTTCTGGGGCCCATAGAATTGGACCCCCTGGTCCAATCTTTTTGAAACTTGTGGGGGGGGGTTGAGGAGAAGCACCAGCAGCTATACTGCCAATTTGTTGCCTCTTCCTCAAAAAACAGCCCCCCCCCAAGGCTGAGGTACCCCTGGATCGATTCTCCGTTATAGCCTATGATGGTCCCCATTATTAGATAGAAAAAAATATTTTTTGCACACCCCTATTATGCTTTCTAATATGATTTATAAGCTGCCTTGAGCCACAGCGAAAAATAAGATTCAGATATATATCTGAAGATATAAGTAGTTTGGGCAGGTTGATAACATTTAAGCAACTTCCTGTTTTTAGGTTAGGCAGGGTTCTGACAGCCATTGTTCCACCTCTGTTATACTTGACCTATAATGCTGGTTGTCATATTTCACTAAAAAAAAGTAGTCTGCAAGAGTTCCCCCACTCAAGGGTGATGGTCCAAAGCCAGGTCTACCAATATAGTGGACTGGGGTGGGTAGACCTGTTTTCTATAGGCCAGGTCTACCAATATAGTGAAAAGGGGTGGGTAGACCTATTCTCCAGAGGCCTGGTCTACCAATATAGTGGACTGTTCTCTGGAGGCCAGGACTACCAATATAGTGGCAAGGGGTGGGTAGACCAGTTCTCCTGAGGCCAGGTTACCAATATAGTGGAAAGGGGCGGATAGACCTGTTCTCCGGATGCCTGGTCTACCTCTGTAGAGGATAACATTTTGTGTAATGAAATTTGACTTAATTGTTTTCTCTTATAAGGTTTAAATTATTCTTAAAATATAGTTTAATTATAGTTTAAAAGAATTCATTCTGAGATTTTTACAAGGTTATGGAAATAATCTTCTAAAAAACTAATTTACACAATAGTCAAATGTAAACTCACTCACAACTTTAATGCTACTAGCTTTTTTCGCTCAAGAGGTCAAATTTCTGTTCACAGCTTAGAGGGAACATTTTCATGGACCCATGGTTTATAAATGCAAGTGTGCTGCGGCGATACAACATGAAATATATTATGGAACTTGCACAACAGTCTTATAATTACTGCTGATTGTTGCCCACTATGGTTAATAACGAAACCATGTTTTTGCCATCCTGTTATGTATAATTAGCACCTTATAATGGTCTTAGAAATGTTTTATGTTCAGGCCCGTAGCTAACGCGGGGCCTGTGGGGCCTGGCCCCCTAGCATTTCTTCTGGGCCCCCTCTCTCCCGGGCCAGTCCCAAATTGAATTAATGTGGTTGACTTTTATTTAATTAGCTGAGATCCCCTCCAGGCCCCCTCCCCCAATAATCTCTAGCTACGGGGCTGTTTATATTTTTAACTTATTTTAACTTTTTATGTAAGTCACCCTGAGCCTACTTTGGCGGGGAGGGCAGGGTATAAATCAAATCACATAAATAAATGGCATAGTTTTGCTGAGAACTATACATCATAACATATTGCAGTTACAATTTTTTAGGAAGGTCTAATCCAACATTAAGCCTGAATACTTGAAACTGAACTACAGCTAGTCTGTCAGGAACAAAAGGTTCTCAGACAGTGATCCATGAAAAAGGACCACGTGAGAGTTGCTCCATGCTTCAAGAGGTCAAGCAAGGGGACTCAGCAAGGCAAGAACAGGGAACCTGGCATTTATTCAAGCTCAGCAAGTGTAGCAGATATGGGTTCCCGGATCCCCTGCTGCTGGGGACTCTTACAGACCCATCTTTATTAGACCTTGCCTGCTTCATCTGCCTGTGCCTGCCTGTTAGCCCCTTCCTTTAGGTCCTACGGTCTGCTCGCCCTAGCTGATTTGCCAGGTCTATTCCTGTAGAGGATTCGCTGCTTATAAATCCTGAAAGTCTTAAGCTTCCTGTGCTGCTGTAGAGCTGTGCTAATATAGAGCTACAACAGCAGTAGCATTACAGCACAGTTGTCAAGATTCATGTCATGAGCTATTGCCCCCGGAGCATTCCTTCCACATGGTGTTATCCCACAGGGCTGTAGTAGGAGCATGTGAACCCTGAATCTATACAGGCAAGGCACGGAACTGCCCATGCACTGCCATGTGGCTGAAACATTCAGACTACTTGCAAGCATTTAAACCTTTATATTCAGTTTTGTTTTTTTCCTTGCTTAAGCTATATAGAAAAGTGGGAGACGGAAGGATGCGAGGGGGAGTGAGATTTGCATAGAAAAGCAAAAGTGGCGGCTGTTCCCCTGTGGCAGATTGACTACAGCATGCATTGAAGTGCAAGAGGAGGAGAAGCAAGAGTTAGTAGAGCATTACCTGACAGTCGGGCAGTCTCGCCTCCTGGCTAGTTGTGAGCCGTGTGGCGGTATGGAGGCAGCAGGCTGCTGACAATCTATAAGAAACTGATAAATTAGACATATATACAAAGAGATGACACTGGGGGGAGGGGTTAGTAAGTAAACAACAGACAAGGCAGGGGGTGCAGAGATTTAGTGAGGAATGTGTGGTCTGTTCACAAAATTGATAGGAATAAACTGTGAAAATATTACAAACGGTAATAGAAAATATTTGACCTTCTCAGCTAGGAGAACCAGTGTGGTCCAGACTAGGGCTCAAAAGCTATCACCGAATCACTGCTTGGAGGCCTAGTTTCAGTTTCCTTCTATAGAACAACTTGCTTCACAGGGTGGTTGTAAGAACAAATAAGAAGGATGGGTGCAATTTTTAAAAAATTAAACATGCCTGTCTTACTGAAAACAATGGACCTTTTATGAACAATTAATGTGCTTCAGTCCCATTGGTTTCAGTTGGATTTCAGTACAACTGACATTCCTTGGGTGGTACCTAGAAAGGATTTGGCACTCTAAAAGCTCAGTCTAAATAATAATTACAACAACGGTAAACATTAGGTACTTGGAACAAACCTACTTCCAGAAATAAAAGTGTGTGTGTGTGTTTATTTCAATAAAATGCTGAGTAAATTCTTTTTTAAAGTTATTTATCAAACAGAATAAATATACCTGCCTGTTTTTTAGCCCTTTGTGCTAAAAACTACTTTGAAATCTATTTCAATAAAATGCTAAGTAAATTCTTTTTTAAAGTTACTTATCAAACAGAATAAATAATATACCTGCCTGGTTTTTTTAACCCTTTGTGCTAAAAACTACTTTGAAATCACACACAAAAATTACAGTTGCCATTTAAGGAATGTCACAGTTAATATGAAGGGCACAAAATACTGCCATTGCCATTGAAGTATCCAAAGTGCATCAATTTACTTGGAGGTATGCTTGAATGCAAGCTGTAGGTCCTCAATACCTGTGCAAGGTGGATATGAACACATATCACATGTGGAAGCCATGTATCAGACTGCAAGGTGTGCTAAAGTACCAAGGGGGTGGGGTTTCTACACTCCCAAATTTCTGCAGCAATGCACAAATGTGTGGAAATATGCCCAGAGAATATGGTGAATATCAGACACATTGAGCCCAGAAGTGTGAAAAAATCCAAACTTATTTATATGGAGACAGAAACAGGCTCCACTGAAATCAAGAAGATGTAACTTCCCAGTGGAAATACTTCAGAACAGTGCAGTGAGATACTAAGGTTACACAGAAATACAGTGAGCTACAACAATGGCTTGTGCAGGATGAGACACCAGTACTCACGCCTGCTACACTGCACTGTAAAGCTGTTATAACAGGCAAATCCAGACACTGGCAAATTTGACTGTTTTAAAAAGTGAATTCAGAGAGCTATTTACCGAGTGTCAACTTAACAAAGGTGTTAAACATGTGATGATCCAGTTGCCTGTTTCAGTCTTCCAAATGGCAAAGGAGAATTTAACTCCCCTCCTGTTTTCCCAGTTGACAAAGTGTGGAACATTCATAATATCAAAATATGTATACGATAGCAATTGCAGTACAACTGTACATTATTACTTTGATATACAAACCAGGAAGATAGTTCAATAACTTTCTGAGGTAGTTAGTAACTATACACACGTGCACACATGGCCACCGTTATATTACTTTAAATGTGTGTTTCAGTTGGATGACTCCCTGTACAAAAATGAACCAGCTCAAAGTGTCTGATAATTCACAGATAAACTCTCTTTATTTCAATTGGCTGATGTGCAGATGTTTAAAATCCTTGAGAAAGAATTCATACGCATGCTCTCCCACCCCATGTTTTCAGTGTGGTCCTTGGAGAGCTCTTGGAAATAATATTTTTCTTTTCCTTATAAAAGGTCTTCCTTTGGAAGCAATTAAAATACCACTCAGGCACAGCAGACTGCTGAAGTTTTGTTTTTTTCCACCTTCCAAGCAAAGTCACCAAGGGCCAATTCATGCCAACCTTAAAATTGTGTTGCTGATCATTTTCCTTTCTTGTCTCAAAAATAGGGTTGCCAATTCCAGGCTTGGAAATTCCTGGGGATTTGGAGGACTGAGACTGGAGAAGGCAGGGTTTGGGGAGGGCAGGGATCTCTGTAGGGTATAATGCCATAGAGTTCACCCTCCAAAGCAGCTATTTTCTCCAGGGGAACTGATCTATGTCATCATCTGGAGATCAGTTGTAATTCCAGGGGATCTCCAGGTCCCACATGGACATTGGCTACCGGAGAAAAGAGCCTGGAGTCAAATATATTTGTAGGAAAACTGCAGACTGCAATCCACCTTTCACTTGCTCAACTCACTCCGAAGTAACTTGCCTGTAAAAATTCTAGCTTGTGGCAGAGTACTCACAAACACTATGTACTTAAATCCAGGATGTCAGTAAAGATAGACCAGCTTTGTATGGAATAGTCATATGAAGGGCCCCAGACCACAGGCCCCATGGCTGTCTGTGTGTTGCTGTTGATTTAATCTTTCAAGTCATTACATGAATGGCAAGCATGCTTTCTCATTCTTCTATGGAGACCTACACTGCCCTCCAGCGGTTGCTGTGTGTGTGTGCGCGCACGCATTCATGCCCAGTAGATTTGCAAGCAGCTTTTCCAGATACTGAAAGCATATTTATGTCCTTGAGAATGAACTTTGGCAAGAACGGGCATAAAAAAGTATCACAAACCACAATATATGATTTTATCTTGCTGACAAAGTCAAATTGGAACCTGCTCGTAAAAGCCATTTGGCGCTTTGAAAGCCCTTCCTTTTCTTACGATAATGTTTATTTAGGAACATCTTCTGTCAAGCGGGCTCAGAGAATAACGGACGTTCATAGAGGGGAAATTACCACCCCTCCAAATAAACTTCATTTTATTATTGAAATAAATCTATTTGTACGCTATGTGTACACTGGAATTTCTACTATGGGTAGAACTTTGAGAATAATGTGAGATACGAAGAAAACTTGGTCTGCGGACCTTGTTACTAGAGGACATTGTACAGCTGAGGCTGCAATCTTTCAGCAAACAATTTGCAGCATGGTACAGAACAGATTACATACGTTGGTGCCAGAAAGTGATATCCAGCAGCTCTAAACCTATTCGGGCTTTCATATATTTTTGACTGCTAGAGGTGAAGTCAGGAATAATGTATGTGAGCAGTAGAGCCTAAACAGAGTTTCACCCTTCTAAAGCCCACAAAGTCAAAGGGGATTGAAGAGTGTAAGCATGTTTAGGGCTGCACTGTGAAAGTACTAGAAACACCACAAATGACTTTATTAGTTTAAAATGAAATGCAAAACTCCCAGCATTTAATATTTTAACATAGCTTAGATATGAACGTAAAGGGCAATGGAATTCCTATATACTAGATAATAGCAGGATTGTGAATAATGTCCCAAATGTTATTCAGGTCTATGTGATCTTCTCACATTTAGATATTTTCAGTATGGAATCAAAGAGCTCTTCATTTCAAAACTCTGTTGAGATTTATTTATTTTCATTATTTATTGTCTGTCTACCTTTCTCATTTGGACTCAAGGCAGATTACACAGAGAGTCAATACAATTAATAGGACGGGACATGCAATAAACAATGCAATAGGATTAGGGTTGCAGAACCAATCAGAAGTCTAAAAACAGAAAGGAAGCAAAACATAAGTACTAACATGACATATTAAAAATGATGCAAAAAATTACATAGTAGTATCCTCATCTCAGCAAACTATGTGCAGTAGTATGGCCCACAGTCCCTAATGATTTATCCAAGTAACTTTGTGAATCACTTTGTTACAGTGCAACTCTATTGTCTGCATAGATAAGCCCTCTTGAATAATTCAGTTTTGCATAGTTTGCAGAAAAGCCAGGAGAGTGGGAGCATTGAGTTCTCCTCTGAATTTTATTGTCTTGCACTACACTGCTTTGGGTCTAGCACAGTAACAGAAAGCAACCTCTCAAAAAAGTACCAATGAAATATGAAACTACTTTGATTCCTGATGAGTGTTGTTGTTGGGGGGGGGAACTCCCATAGGACTGAGGTGCGGGAACTACAGAGAAGCCTGCCATATGGAAGCCCTATTACCACTACGCCGCTGTACTGACAGTCACAGTGGTGGTAAGGAAACTACACAAGCCTGTCCCTGTGTGAAAAACACCAATAAGAGAGCATGCAGGAGGCAACTGGGAGCAGACCTAGTTAGCGGGGGCAGTACCGTATTCGCCCTGGCACAGTGTTTCCCAGCCAGTGGGTCCCAAAGCCTGCTCAAGTGAGTCTCAAGCTTCTGTGGTTTTATTGGTTTGTGAATATTCTTTTTTTTTTTTAAAGCTGGTCACCATATGACATAAAGTAACAGCAAAACAACTGTGTGCTGAAATACCCGCAATAGTCAATGTACAAAATGTATAGGAAATATAGACGTCCACAGAAGTCCTTCCTCAGGAACAAAGAACCACAATAGAAAGTCTCACTCCAATTTCTTTACAAGACAATATTGTTCAGTTGCTTTATGGGCCAGGTCTCCTAAGCTTGAAAGTGCACCTCTCAAGGTTGCTACTATGTAGAACAGGACCAAAAATGCCTCAGAGTATTCAGCCTGCTAGGCCTGCTTTATCTTTGTTCCTGAGGAAGGACCAGAAGTCTGAAACACTGTATACTACCTAGGAAAAGTGTTGAATTTCTACTTTGGACTTTATGCATTCTGTGGATTCTATATCTATTCTGCGGATGTGCATTCTATATTTCCTATGATGGATTTTATGTACAGATTTATTGCTGATTGCATATGTGTTTCACTTTGCTGAAATCTCTTTTTGTACATTGACTATTGTGGGTATTTCAGCACACTGTTGTTTTTCTGTTACTTGCCATTTTGTACTGTGTGCTGCATTGTTTGGTTACTTATAAATTTAGGGTTACCAGGTCTGGGTTGGAAAATACCTGGAAAATTTGGGGGTGGAGCCAGGAGAGGGCGGGGTTTGGGGAGGGGCCTCAGCATAGTACAATGCTAT